GTCACTGTATAACACTGGGGTACAGTACCGGTGGGGACAGGTCTGTCGCTGTATAACACTGGGGTACAGTACCGGTGGGGATGGGTCTGTCACTGTATAACACTGGGGTACAGTACCGGTGAGGACAGGTCTGTCGCTGTATAACACTGGGGTACCGTACTGGTGGGGACAGGTCTGTCGCTGTATAACACTGGGGTACCGTACTGGTGGGGACAGGTCTTTTATCGCATACTGCACAAATAATTGTGAGTTTGAGACATCAACTATACAAGCTTAAGTATGTTTCCTTCAAGTGTGAACACTGTTTCTGTGGGTGACCCAGTGTGAGTGTTGCCTGCATTGCTGTCTGTGCTATGTTAAAACCAGCTGATAGATGCTGAAAGGGGAAATAATGCATTTCCACCAGCTGCTGAAGCTGGTGGTTCGGGTTTGATCGCAGATGGCCTCGCCACAGAGACAACAGAAACACAGAACAGTAGAGCACAGTTACAGGCCTTTCGATCCATGATGTTGTGCCGACCTATTATCCTACTAAGATCAATCTACCCTGCGTACCCTACATTTTACTATCATCCATGAGCCTATCCAAGAGTCGCTTAAATGTCCCTAATGTATCTGACTCCATTACCACTGCCGGCAGCGCATTCCACGCACCCACCACTCTGTGTGAAGAACCTACCTCTGACATCTCCCTGCCCCCTCGTAATAACCATTTCCACCCTGGGAAAAAGTCTCTGAGTATCCACTCTATCTATGCCTCTCATCATATTGTACACCTCTTTGAAGTCACCTCTCATCCTTCTTCGCTCCAATGAGATAAGCCCTAGCTCCCTCAACCTTTCCTCATAAGACTTGCCCTCCAGTCCAGGCAGCATCCTGATAAATCTCCTCTGCACCCGCTCTAAAGCTTCCACATCCTTCCTATAATGAGGCGACCAGAACTGAACACAATATTCCAAGCGCGGTCTAACCAGGGTTTTATAGAGCTGAAGCATAACCTTGCGGCTCTTATGCTGAATTCGCCTGCCAATGAAAGCCAACATACCATATGCCTTCTTTGCAACCCTATCAACTCAAACATGCTGCACCCTTTAGCTTCCTATTCAGATTGGCCCCAGGAGGTGAGTGAGGGCAGCCAGGGATGATTTTGTTGCTGTGTTTAATTCATTCTCCTTTTGGTCTCGTCCCCTTGACCATACTATATGAGATAGACCTGGTGTGAACCAAGAGCAAAAACCTTTACGATACAAAGCATTTGCTTTTAGCCAGGATTCAGTTCGTCACCACTTTGAGTTATAGAATCATAGAATCCCTACAGTGCAGAAAGAGGCCATTAAGCCCATCAAGTCTGCACCAACCCTCTGAAGAGCATCCCACCCTAACCTCATGACCTTGCATTCCCTATGGCTAATCCACCTAGCCTGCACATCTTTGGACTGTGGGAGGAAACCGGAGCATCCGGAGGAAACCCACGCAGATATGGGGAGAATGTGCAAACTCCACACAGACAGTTGCCCGAGGGTGGAATTGAACCCGTGTCTGTGGCACTGTGAGGCAGCAGTGCTAACCACTGAGCCATCGTGCCAGTTCTAGCTGAGGTCACCACCTCTCGATCATCCACCATTTGCCATTTCTCCACCTTTGATGACTGTGCCTTCAACTGCCTGGATCCTGGATTGTGTAATTCTTTCCCTAAACCTCTCAGCACCTTTACCTCTCTCTGCTGTTTTAATACGTAATACACTCCTTAAATTTTGTCTCATAGCTTTCTGGTGAAGTGCCTGGGGAAGATTTTATAAGGGTGAACCAATGTTGTTATTGTAACAACATCGGTTGGGGAGGCAATGGCCTGGTGGTGTTATCACTGGACTGTTAACCTAGAGATCCAGATAACACTCCAGCCACGGCAGATGGGGGAGTTTGAATTCAATAATAATCTGGAATTAAGAATCTAATGATATCGGGAAAACCCATCTGATTCACTAATGGCCTTTAAGGAAGGAAACTGCCATCCTTACCTGGTCTGGCCTACATGTGAGTCCAGACACACAGCAAAGTGGTTGACTCTTAACAATTAGGGATGGGCAATAAACGCTGCCTGGCCAGTGACGCCCTTATCCCGTGAATGAATTAAACAAAAAAATTCTCACCTCCGGAAACTTCAGGCTGACAGTCACTGTGCAGTGTTGAAAGAGTACAGCATTGTTGGTGGTGCCACCTTTCAGATGAGATGTTACGGCAAATCCCACCTCTTTTCCTGGATGTATACAAAGATCCCATGGCACTTTTTTGAAGAGGAGGGAAGTTCTGCTCAGCTCCATGGCTTGCCAGACATTTATATCACAGCCAAGCAGATTGTCAGGCTTGTATTGCTGTTTGTGGGATCTTACTGTGTGCTATTTAACTGCTGTGATCACTCTTTTTAAAAAGTACCCCATTGGCTGTGAAGTATCTTGTGAGAGGCACTGTAGAAATGAAAATCCTTCTTCTTTCCACCCCTCCTCTCCCTGGAATGTCCTGCCAACATTTCCTCTCAAATCTCCCACTTAAAGAATGACTGTTTAGTAAAGTGTCACCTTCCTAACATTATGCTTGCAGGCTGGCTATTTGACCTCAGGAGGCATCTCAGCCCAGACTGAATATGAGGGACTGGGAAAATGGGTTTAGAGGAGGGAGGCTGGAGCCTGTGGAGGGTGGAAGTGAATTTCATGCACGGAGCTGTGTTCAGAAGCAGAAAGTAATTCTCCTTTTGCGCTGGGCCTTGTTGCGGTCTAGTCAGTTGGTGATTGGGTTAGAATGTTTATCTTAATAGTCTTCATGTAATAAGTGGGACAGGAGCTTGCAACAATTAGAGTTTCTGTCATTTCAATATTATTTTTGATTTTCAAGATTTGGCTTTGCTGTGCGTTGGTAATTTTAACTTTGAAAAATGTTTCAGTTAACTGTTTCTGATTTGAGAAGCATATTTTCTGTATAAGTTGGCGTCAGGAGTGCACGTAACACGTTACGAGCTGTGGAAAAGATGGTCGGTAACCTAACCAGGATAGGAATCCAGAGATGACAATTAATTTCAGAAAGCTTTAGCAGCGTAAAGTTAAGGCCTCGAGTTCCAGAGTTTGAAGTGAATATAGTTTTAGTGTTGCTGTACACAGTGCTATACACTTACTGTGCAGGTCATGGCTCAGTTATAACTCTTGCCTCTGTTACAGGGTCATGAATTTAACACCTAGACGGATTGTTCATTGTGCTGAAGGGTTCAAACCCAGCATTCCCTAGATTGTCAGCCAGGATTACATCATGCCACATAATGGATTTATTAGCAAATCAAAGCCCATGAGCTTAAAGGGGCAGTGACAGCCTGGATACAAGATCGGCTAAGAGGCAGAAAGCATGGAGTAATGTTTAACACTTTTACAACCACTGCTGTTTTTGATTATGTACCTAAATCCAGGTCAGTATTGTATGGGGTGTAGTTTTGAAGCGTGCACTTGACCAGAAACACAGAGATGTGATTACATACAGACTGGAGGAGGATGCAAACTGGTGAAATGAGCAGACACATGGCAACTTAAGTTTAATGTGGCAAAGTGTGAAGTGATGCATTTTAGTAGGAAGAATGAGCAGAAGCAAACTAAACTAAATGGTATAAATTTGCAGGGGGTGCAGCTGCGGCTGGATGTATACAGGTTTTCGAAGCTGGCAAGAAGGTTGAGAGATTGCTTAAAAGCCCGTATGGTATTCTTGGCTTTGTAAACAGAAGAAGTAGTACAAAAGCAAGAAAGTTATGTAAAAACTTGAAAATCACTGGTTCAGCCTTAGTTGGAGTAAAGTGTCCAATTCTGGGCACAGACTTCAGGAAGGAAGTTAGAGGAGGTGCAGAAGAGATTTACTGGAACTGTACCAAGGATTCAGAACTCCAGTAATGCAGAGAGACTGAGGAAGATGGAGTTGTTCTCCTTAAATCAGAGAAAGTTAAGGAAAGATTTAACAGAGGTTCTCTTAATTTTATGATGTTCGATAGAATAAACCGTAGAAAAAGATAGCTAATGAACCAGGGCAAAGATGTAAATATTTTCCAGAGCAGAGAAGTAAGACTAATCAAAAGTGTTTTCAAAGAGTTAGCATGAGCATGATGGGTCAAATGGCCTCCTCCTGTGCTGTACAAATGCAAAATGAGCTTATAATTATACCAAACGGGCTGGTGTGATACCAAGGAGATAGAGTTCATTGGTTTCTTTCACTGCACTACAGGTTTTTCGTTTGATTTGCGGAGATTGCTTTGAGTGTTGTGGCTGAACATGTTTTATTTCGCTTCTACAGAATCGGAGGACAGTGGCAAAGATGTGAGAAAGAAGATTGAAACAATGAGGCTCATTAGAGAAGGTAAGGTAGTGGGCTGGATATGAAGGACTGAAAGCAGCCACAGTTACTTCGGTCTGAATGATTTGAAATTCCCAATATCACCGGGGCTGGGGAGTGCTCTGGAGTGTTTATGGGGTGGGGTTGGGAGATGTAGATTGAAGGTATGAAACAGGTATTGAGATCACATTTACCCCTTCCCTTACCCCCCTGTTCCCAGCTTTCTTTGTGCAGTTCCAGCATGTGTGTGTGTGCGCTAGCTAGTTTCCTCTCTATTTCAGATATGCCGATCTTTGGTCATTGTCCAGCCCATGATGAGTTCTTCCTTGTGGTGTGTAACCAATGTGGACAGGTAGTTAAACCTCAGGCATTCCAGATGCACTGTGGTAAGTTATTTTGTGTCTTAGTATCTTTGGGTCTTTTTTTCAAAGGAAACAAAAGTGGATTGGATACTGCAGGGAAATGCTGCCTTAAACTTACTCAGCTAGCACACAAGCTCTGAAATTGAGAAAGGTTACATCAGCATCATCTTTGGACTCACTCTGCCTTTCAGCTACTGTTCCCTTGCTCTGGGAGTATACAATGCGGACAGTGTAGAGGAAGCTTTAGTCTGTATCTAACCCTGTGCTGTACCTGCCTTGAGAGTGTTTGGGGACGGTGTAGAGAGAGCATTTACTTCCAATTTAAAAGAGTGAAAGGAGCTTTAGTCTGTATCTAATCCTATGCTATGCCCATCCTGAGAGTGTTTGGTGGAGATACATTTGAGGGAGCTTTACTCTGTATCTAACTCCAAGCTATCTCTGGCCTGGTGGTGTTTGATGGGAGCAGTGTAGAGCGAGCTTTGCACTGTATCTAAGCCTTTGCTGTACATGTTCTATTAGCTTGAGTGCTGAAATTATTCAGTTCTCTGACTTTGACCATATTCAAAAGTGATTTGAAAAAATGTTTTACTGGAAATGTGCAGAAACCTGGCTGGCAAAAGTCTCCAGCCTGGTGATAGATCCACTGAGGTAGAGCTTGTCTATGTCCAACACAATGTTCAAAAATTCGTGGGTGTCGCTGGTTAGTTTGGCATTTATTGCCTGTCCCTAACTACCCAGAGGGCAGTTAAGTGTCAACCATGTTGCTGTGGGTCTGGAATGACATGTAGACCGGACCAAGTAAGGATAACAGTTCCTTTCCTAAAGGACATTAGTGAACCGGATGGATTTTTTCCAACAATCAACAGTTGATCTGTTCCAGATTTTTATTGAATTCAAATTCCACTATCTGCCATCAGGATTCGAACCCAGGTCCCCACAACAGTCCCAGGGTATCTTGATTAATAGTCTGGTAATAATACCACCAAGCCATCACAACCCCCTCTTCTGCCAAGAATACATCCATTATCCAGCTAGCAATGTCCAAACGACCAGACAGGACCGAGAGCTCTGTGTATGCCAGGCTACTGTTGCAGTTTAACCAGTTATAGACTTGCAGCTAGTCAATGCAGAGCATTGGTATTGAACCCAGTGCTTCTCTTTACTGTCAGCAAGACTTCCTACTTTCACAAACACAAAATGAAATAGCTGGAGACACTCAGCAGGTCTGGCAACATCTGTGGAGAGAGAATGAAGTTGATGTTTTGAGTCCAGTGACCCTTCATCAGGACGCTTCCTTTCACCTCTGTGACATCACCCATCTCCATCTCGGAGTTTTGAAGAGCCACACCAGATTCAAAACATTAACTCTTTTTCTCTCTCCAAAGATGCTGCCAGACCTGCTGAATTTCTCCAGCTCATTCTGTATTTATTTCAAACTTCCAGCATCTACAGAGTTTTGCTTTTGTTAATTTTAGTGTACCCATGTGTAGCGCTTTGGGCCTTTTCCTGTTTTGGGATGCTATATAGATTCAAATTGTTGAAATGAGTGGCTTGTTCAGATGCTTCAGAGTTGGTTAAGCATTACCCATGCTGATATGGGGCCACAGTCATATATATTGACCAGGTTTCCTTACCTAAAGAGTATTGGTGATGTCATTCCAATAGCTCCACATATCGGGGAGGTGATGGCCTAGTGGTATTATTGCTGGATTGTTAATCCAGAGACTCAGGTAATGTTCTGGGGACCCAGGTTCAAATCCTGCCATGGCAGATGGTGGAATTTGAATTCAATAAAAATCTGGAATTAAGAATCTAATGATGACCGTGAATCCATTGTCAGTTGCTGGAAAAACTCATCTGGTTCACTAATGTCCTTTAGGGAAGGAAACTGCCATCCTTACCTGGTCTGGCCTACATGTGACTCCAGGCCCACAACAATGTGGTTGACTCTTAACTGCCCTTAGGGATGGGCAGTAAACGCTGTCTAGCCAGCAATGCCCTCATCCCATGAATGAATAAAGAAAAAAATACTTTTACTGATACCAGCCTTTCAATTTCAGATACTTTATGAAATGATGACTTTTATTTCTGTAATGCCATTCAAAATATCATGATAACACATTACAGTCAATGAAGTGTGGTTTTTGTTGAAATGCAGAAAGTGCACAGCAAGCTCTCACTAACCTCAGTCAAATAAATGTCCAAGTAATTTAGTTTTGTGATGTTGACAAGGACAGCAAAAGGAATACTCCTGCTCTTCTGGGATCTTTTATGCCCACCTAAGAGAGCAGATGGAGGCCTCTATTTGATGCCATATCTGAAAAATAGTACCTCGAATGATGAAACAGTCCCCCAGCCTTGGGCCCTTCTGTCTGAGAGGTGAGACGGTGCTACCACTGAGCCTAGCCATGGGAATAGCAGGATGTGAACACTGGTTCTTCAGATTGTATGTTGTGTGTTTGATATCAAGCCAAGGAATCTAAATAACTCGGACTATTTTCAGAGAGAAGACATGGGTCTCTGAACAAACTGTCAGCACGAAGACCTCCTGCCTTGAATTCCCCAAACTCTATTGTCCTGCAGAAATCGCGATATAACAGTGTCCAAACTACTGTGACCGCTAACCATGGCACCAGTTCCTCCAAAGAGAAGCTACAGAGCCCTGGTAGCAAGGTGCTACAGTTAGACGTGCCTTCAAAGGGACCAAAAGAAAATCTCTGGTAATTTGATTGTATTTTTGACTGTGATTACATAGAGCAAGAGGAGAGAAAAATCTTCATCCTAACTTAGAGAAGGATAGCATCTGCAGTCAAATCAGAAATAAATGATTTCAGCTGCGTGGAGAGATGGAGAAAGTTGGGGTTATTCCCCTTGGAGCAGAGAATGTTAAGGGGAGGTTTGTTGGAGGTATTGAGAATTATGAAGTGTTGTGATGAACTAGACAGGGAGGGGAACTCTTTCCAGCAGTAAAAGGGTCAATAACCAGAGGACACAGGTTGAAGGTATTTGCCAGAAGATTAAGAGAACTTTTTCTTTCATGTAACAATTTATGATTTGAAATGTGCTGCCTGGAAAGGCAGTAGAAACGGATTTAATTTTCAAAAGGAAGATTACATAAATACTTGAAAGATGAGGACTAAGGGGAAGGAGCAGTAATGTGGGAATAACAGGATAACTTATTCAAAGAGTCAGCACAGACGTGCAGCTGGTACAATCTTGTGCTGAGCTCAACCAGCTCTTCTGGATGTGAATCTCTAGACAGTGAGTTCCAGCTGGCTGTTTGACTGTAGGTAGCATCACACTTTTTAACCTAGTGTTGTTTGTACAAGCTTTCAAGCAAGGTTCACTGGATGCTGATCTGGAGTGGGAATCCTGGTTGATTGTTTTCTTTCCCTCAAAGTGTGTTAATTTTAAAGTGACAAATCAGCAGGTTTCAAAATGAACCCAGTATAGTCTTAATTTTACTGCTTCACTCTCCTGGAGGATTCATCATTTCTCAGGCACAGTTTCATTGCTCGAGCTTGCTGTTTGGGAAATCGCACAAGTGGTTCATCCTTCATGTAGGAGGAGGCAATAACAGCCTGATTGTTCGAAAAGTGTAGTGCATCACAGGCAGGCCAAGCCCTCGTCCAGTCATCAAGTCATAGAGATGTACGTCATGGAAACAGACTCTTTGCTCCAACTCATCCATGCTGATCAGATATCCTAAATTAATCTAGTCCCATTTGCCCCATATCCCCCTAAACCCTTCCTATTCATATACCCATCTGGATGCCTTTTAAATTTTGTAATTTTACCAGCCTCCACCACTTCCTCCAGCAGCTCATTCCATACACACACCATCCTCTGTGAGAAAAAGTTGCACCTTCGGTCCCTTTCAAATCTTTCCCCTCTCACCTTAAACCTATGCCCTTTAATCTTGCACTCCCCTACCCTGGGAAAAAAAACTTGACTGTTCACCCTATCCATGCCCCTGATGATTTTATAAATCTTTGCCACAAAGTCCATTTGCTTTCTAGCTGTGTTTGTTAGCTGGCTGTCAGATGTTGACCCGCAACCCACAGTCCTAAACTTTGAACCCAGTCCTAAATGTTGAACTTATGCCTTGAACCGTAAGCCAGCCTACGATTCTCACTGGGGAGGTCCAGTGCTGTGTCCGAAATCTCAGAGTTGAGGAATTAAACTTGAGGAGTTGCTGGTCTGTCTAGTTTCACATTCATTATCTTTACTCAGTTAGCAACGGGGAGAGCTCTTGCTGTAGGTTCTGGAAGTCTCACTTGCCATTGGGCCTTCTACTGGAAACTGAATGTGTGTGGACTATGAGTGAAGCAGGATTGAGTCCTGGTGCAATGCTCCATTTGTCCAAATAACCTGTTAATCAGTCACTGCTGAAGCTCATGTGGGAGCAAGTTTGAATTGAACTGGATGCCTAGAATTTATTTATTAAACTTCATGTTTATCCTGCTGCAGCTTGTTTGTTCCTGTGGTGAACCTGGAAAAGATCCCGACTCTCAGAAAGACAGACAGCTCCTGCATCAAGCTGAGCTCCAAGCTCCCAGCTGTTTCCTTGTCCCCACCCGATCCCACTTTGGCTCCCAGTAAACCCAGTCCGGTCCCCGTCCTTGATTCTGCAACAAAGGCGATGGCAGCGAGCACAGTCCTGAAGGTGGCCGATTCTCTACAGCCATCTGCGGTAATTCAGAACGGTAAAGGGCAGCGGTCTCCCGTGCTGGAGGAGCCAACACTCAGTAACAGGAAAAACAGCCATAAAATCCACCGAAGAATTGTAGGTGAGTTTGCATCACCACATTCATCGAACTAATGAAGGGTCAAATGGTGGAGGAAGGGAAGTAGGATTTAGCCAATGATTTGTTATATTTAAAACTGATTAGAACAATCAGTTGATATTTTTGTGATTGAGGTCTGTGATGACTTCTGCTTGGGAATGGAACAGTATCAACTGCAGTCAAACATCAATTGGTGTAAAGTGCTCCCAGATAGGAGAGATACAGAGTAACCTGATGGGACAGTGTAGAGGGAGTTTTACTCTGTATCTAATCCCATGCTGTACCTGACCTGGGAATGTTTGATGGGGAAAGTGTACAGGGAGTTTTACTTTCAGTTTAAGGTGTTAGGGGAGATTTAATTTAATCTACCCTTCTGTTGACTGTGTGCTGTGAGTGTTTAATGGGAAGTTTAAAAGAGTAGAGGCAACTTTACCTCTGTTTAAACAGCAAAAGACAGCTTTACTTTCAGTTTAAAAGAGTAGAGGGAGCTTTAATCATAATGTAACCCTGTGCTGTCCCTGTCCTGGGAATGATTGATGGGGACAGTATAGAGGGAGCCTCACTCTGCATCTAACCCTGTGCTATTCGTTCTCTGGAAGTGAGTGATGGGGGCAATGTAGAGGAAGCTTTACTCTGTATCGAACCCCGCGCTGTAATTAAGGGAAAACGTTTCTTTCACAAATGCAATAGTAAGACTTAAAATGTGTACAAATCAGGGGGTGTGGAAGAAACTTGGACAAAACAAGGGCATGTGGTAGCTGACATCTGTGGGTAAGCAGTGAACTTTGACCTTTGAACTCACTGCATAGTTTAGATTTTCCGTTCTCAATCACATTTCAAACATCTCCATCTCACAAACACAAAAAGTGTTCCAGGTATATGTGAGAGCTTTAAAATAAATCTTTTAAAAAAAACACGTGAGATTCTTGTTTCTTTTCCTGAAGGATATAGTCTGTTTTCCTAAAGGATTTAGCATGAATTTCGAGCGTTTACTGTTTCTCGTATCAACAATCATTTATTGATGGCTCAGTGAGTGTGAGCATGACTCTGTGAAGACTGGAGACCAGGTAGCGATGTTCCTGCAACCAGCTTGTGCAGACTTTGGCTCCAAGTTAAAAACAGTCATGAGATGAAGCAGAGACTCCCTGATCACCTGAACTCATCTCAGGAGCGGAAGGAATCTCAATCTCCTGATTGTCATTCAGTAGTTCCTCTTGTGTTGTGTGCCCACAGTGGTTGAACGTAATGCAGCATTGTCTCTGAACAAGTAGCTTTTAGAAAACCAGCTGTCTTGGGAGTACTGGAAGACAGTGGAGAGTGGGGTCTTCCCTCCTCCAGTGAAGAGTTAATGTCTGTGAGACAGTGGTTTGCCCTGGGATTATCACAGCTCAGCTGATGTCTACTTTCATGCAGAACCACCTTCCAATGTGATAAATGAATGAAGGCAGTAATGGGAGGCAGGGACATGTGGCTCTGTTTGGGACTATCCAACAGCATCAATATCTGTCACGTAACATCCTCCCTGAATCTATCCATCTCTCTATCTTTTTCCTCTTTTAAGGCGCTCCTAAAACCTACCTTTGACCAAGCTCCTGGTCATGTTTCCCAGCATCTGTTTATGTGGTAAATGTCCAATTTATGTTTAGTAACCATTTTTGTTGGAGGCAGTATGTAAATGCAGCTGTTATTGAACGGTTCAGTAGCACAGCAGTCAATGCTTTGAGGATTCCTCTACTATTAAACACCCCCGGTCCCTTTCACTGCTTAAGAACCTTTGTTTTCTCTCAGTATTAGATTTTTTATGATTTCAGGAAAGTTTCTTGGAAACTGTAAAAGGGACACCTGATTGCTAACTGTAACGTTTGCATGTTTATGTGTGGTGGGAGGGGAAGTTCTGAGGTGTCTCAGTTCTTTAACAGGAAACATCTGTCATAGCACCTAACCTCCATATAATCTCCCAGCAGAGAAAGAAAGTGACCTCAATAAGCACTGCAGCGTCATGGACCCAAACACCAAGAAACACTGCACACGTTCATTAACTTGTAAGGTAAAATCACTCTCGCTTTCTCTCCTGCCTTGTCCCAGACATTACCTTGAGTTTGAATTTTTTTTTGTATTTTCCTGGAGGCAGTGTTTCCGTGTAGCTCAGTTTCTGGATTTAAAGCATACAGGCACCTAGGTTCCTCACTGGCTGATTTTAGGAGTCAGTTATAATTTTGAGAAAAGGAAACCTTACTTTGTTCTTTGCTATATAACACTCCTGGTTTGGCTTTAGCATTCTGTGGGATAAGAATGAGTTTTCCCAAGGATTTTTGCTTCCCCCGAGAGATTAAAAGGGGTTTGACAGGGTAAATGCTGAGCGGATGTTCCCCCTCATGGGACTGTCTAGGACGAAAGGATCCTTAAAATAAAGGAGTGCCAATTTAAGACTGAGATGAAGTGCAATTTCTTTTCAGAGGATTTTGAGTCTTTGGAACTCTCAGAGAGCTGTGGCAGTAGAGTCCTTGTGTATATTTAAGGCTGAGATAGATTCTTGATCGTTTGGGGAATCAAGGGTTGGGGGAAGGACAGGAAAGTGGAGATATGGAGCGTCAGATCAGCCCTGATCCTGTTGAATGGCAGAACAGGCTGGAGGGGCCAAATGGCCTACTCCTGTTCCTATTTCTTAGGATGTTATGCAAAGAGGTAGGGAAGAAGCGTTTATTCTAGATGTTCTACCCATTGTGGTGTCAGACAGACTTGATCAAAATATTAGACTTTTCTTCTCTGTCAGCTTGGTTTATCATCCTGTCACGGTGGATATATATTTTATAGCAAAAGGTAACAAAAACTTCATTCCAGAAGGGATCCAATTGTGATCGGTATGTCGGTGCCTCCCTGCATCTTTGAGCTGTGAGCCTGCCTCGCTCAGAACAGTTGCTGAATTTTTAAAAAAAATTGTACAGCAGTTTATAAAATGGTAAAACATTGACACAGGAGTTCATTATCACTGATACAGACGGATAATTTACAGTTAAAGTCAGCCATGCATACCAGCTTGTTAATAAGCCATTGTACCAGTTGCTTACACCTCTCAGACGATTCAAAATTGTGTAGAGTGCAGTTGTTGTAATGCAAGATCTATTTGTATGAACACTATCTCACCGGCATTGACGTGACTGAGCTGTAATTCTGTTTTTAGTGATGGTATTTGGAAGAGTGGTGACTTGAGGGAAACAGGTGAACATCCTAAATAAAAACAAAAAGAACTGTGGATGCTATAAATCAGAAACAAAAACAGGAATTGCTGGAAATGCTGACAGGTCTGGCAGCGTCCGTGAAGAGAAATCCGAGTTAATGTTTCAGGTCCGGTGATCATTCCTCAGAACTGAGTGTCAGTTCTCAGGAAGGGTCACCAGACCTAAAATGTTAACTCTGCTTTCTCTTCACAGATGCTGCCAGACCTGCCAAGTTTTTCCAGCAACTCCTGTTTTTGTTGCAAGTGAACTTCCTGCTTGTCCTTACCAAATTCCATCACTCCCTCTGCGCTGACCCTCTGACAGTGCTAATATATGCAGAGTGAGACTTGGACTTGTGGCCACTGACTCAGATGCTACTGGGTTGGCAAATGCTTCAGTTCTAAAACTACAAATGATATATGGCCTGGGATATACAGACCATTGAGTCCAACTAATCCATTGGTGTTTATGGTCTACTCGAGTCTACAATTCTCTCTCGTTTGTGAATTCCTCCATGTCCTTACTGTTCCCTACCTCTTTAATCTCCTTGAGGCCCATAACCACTTGAAATATTTATGCTTCTTCAGTTCTGGCCTTTTTTGCATCCCCAATTTGAATTGTTCTACTATTGGCAGCTGTGCTTTCAGCTGCATGAACTCTAAGCTCTGAAATTTTCTCCCTACACCTGTTTACCTCTCTTGTCCTCCAGTATGGTATTCCTTAAATCCTTCCTTTGACCAATCACTTATCCTAATATCTTCTCATGTGGCTTTAAATCAAATTCTTTCTGATTTATGCTCCTGTGAAACATGTTATGTGGTGCTGCAGAAATGTAAATTGACATACTCTTTACTCGGCATCAGCTGGTGTTAAACTTTCCCTGTATGTTTCTATATTAGACGCACTCGTTGACACAGAGGAGGAGTGTGCCGGGACGCCGACTTGCCTTTGATGAGTTGCTGGCAGAACATCGGGCAAGTTTGAAGAACAAGGAGACTGGTAAAGAGAGAAAGCTACAGGTTAAGGAGACAGCGCCAGTCTCTCCAGGGCAGGAGGCCACTCTGGGTTCGGCGATGTTGGGGATCGCTCCAAACCGGCCAAAGATTTCCGGTTGCTCTGGTTCAAGGTATGGTCCAAGTTTCCAGGATTCTTGGGTTTCAGGGTCTTGACCGGAGGGTAGTTCTGAGATGTCATTCCCTCTGGTCAGGGAATCTAGACCAAGATAAATCACAATCTTTCAAATTTAGAGCTTGGGCTTTCAGAAGAAGCTGTTTTTTCCTCATCAAGATTATTAGAAAACTGGACCAGTCTCCACCCCCAGAAAAAACAGTGGGTGCTGGGCTCAATTGGATTTGTAAACCCAGGATTAACAGGCTTTTATTGGTTGGGAGCTATCAAGTGTCTGGAGCAAAGTGGGAGAATGAGTTGAGTGCAGATCAGCCATGATCTAACAGACTGCCCGAGGAAACTCAAAGTGGCCTCCTCCTGAGTCTATATAACAGACTTGAGGGGTTAAATTGCTTGCTCCCTTTTGATGTTACTTGAAAGACCAGTGGTTACTAAACTATACAGGCTGGTTAAATTCCACGTTTCTCTGCTTTGAGCTGTGTTGCTTGCTCTCATAAGGCTGCATGAGGAATTCTACAATGCTGCATTGGAAGTGTCAGCCTGAATTTTGGTGTCAGGACCATGGAATAACTCTGTGTTTTGGAGGTGAGAGAGTATTACCACAGATGATGCACAATTATTAGAGTTTTCAGGTGATCAGGAGGGTAGAGCATTAACTGAAGCTGACATTGAACTTTGAAATTTTTTTTTTTCAGACTCGATATATCTGAAACTTGCATGTTGCAGCTCATTTCACGTTGCACAGAATTCACAGAACAGGCCATTCGGCCCAACTGGCTCCTGCTGGGGCTTATGCTCCACATGAGCCTCCTCCCACATACTCCAGCTAATTCAGGTGGGAATCAACCTTTCCATCTTAGGAAGCAGGAATTGAGAGCCTGAGAGCATCCTGATTTCAGCCGATTTATTTAGCTATATTTTTTCATTCCAAACTCTCAGCATCACATTATTTTTTCAAGAGCACTTCAGCCAAGATTAAAAATCATTTTGTTTTATAAGCAAGTAAATGGGTCCCATGTAGCAGTCTGTAGGCATTGGGTTGAAATAGTGTTCCAGTGTACAGTTCCAGCCGGTGCCACCAGATGGTGCACTTACACCTTGCCTGCTGATTACATCTTGTGCAAATTGCCACTATAAACCTTCCATTGGGTCCTGATTTGGGATAACTCTCTATTAAGCTGTACAAATAATGTACTGCAAGGAAGTATCCTGCAAAAGTGTGTCTTGCAAAAACACTTTTAGTTTGTAATAGTGAAACCATAATTTACTATAAAACTGTGTTCTGTTCAGTAACTATATTACTGGATGCAAAAGCTTAAATTTGCTTTGTTATTATCTACATTGTGTTACTTCTAACTGTTGATAGCTGGACTAGGAAGCAATTGGATTAATGTCAGTAGAGATACAGTCAGTTACTCAGTACGCTGGGGGGAGTAGTTACCAAATGATAGTGAGAGACAGCTGGATGAACATCAGTAGAGATGCAGTTGGTAACACAGGACGCTGGGAAGGGAGGTTTTTGAGTGACATTGACTTTTGTGATATGTAGATTCTCTTACAAATCCGTCTCAGTGTTAATATCAACAACTGACCTGGCATCAACTGCTTTTTGTGGAAGACAGTTCCGAACTTCTACCACCCTTTGTGTTGTACAAATATTTAATAATTTCACTGCACAAACAAATGTGGCCAGACACAACACCACGCGAATACTCAACACTGTTGCTAGACCCAATCCAATACCCTCTAGCCCCTGCCATACCCAAACTCCCCCCTGACCTGACTCCCACCCTCCCTGCCTTCTGCCAAAACCAATTTCCTCCACCCACCCTAACCTACCCTAAACTGCATCATTTGCCACTTTGCACTTTGGCATCCCACCCACTTGTCACCCTATCCCCATCCCACATCCCATCCTGTGTACCTGGTACTCTGCCAAGCTGCCACCCTATCTACCCTTGCAGCACCCAACTTCACACATACCTCATGGACTTGCACAGTAGTTGTCAAAGTGAACCTGTAAATTTCAGATTACAACAGCTGACTGCAAGGAAAAGTGAGTGTGGTTTTCTTTCCCCTGACAGTTCTGCGTTGAGAGAACTGTCAGAACAAAAGTACAGCTCTGTATTTCTGAGGGATCCCTGATCAGACTTCCTCTCAGAAATATGGAGCACCCTCTATTGTTAAAGAAGGGCCGGAGTGGCATCTGACACAAGGTTGTCACTCCTCACAAAATCCTGCCCACTATCTTGAAAACCTTGACCAAATCACTTTTGTAACCATCCACTCTTCTAGGAAAGATAATCCTAGTTTGTCATTGCAGTTTAACTCTTTGAGTACAGATATAACTTTGGTACATCAACACTGCACTTTGTCCGAGGCCAATGTGGGAAGTAGGAAACAAGTTGGCCATTCGGCCCCTCTTGGCCTTCTGCATCATTCAGTTTGATAACGGCTGATCCAATTGTGCTCTCAACTCCATATTTTCATCTACTCCCAATAATTTTTGACTCCCTTATATCTATATAGGGTGTGTTGATCAGAACTGTTCACCGTAATTCTAGGTGAGTTCTTACCAATGCTTCTCACAGCTAAAAGATTACTTCTCACCTCTTGTATTCTAATCCATCAGATACTAAGGCCAGCATTCTCTTGATTTTTCTTTTGATTTTTGTCGGTATCTGCTCATAACGTTTTAATAATTTGTGTACCTGGAGTCTCTATGGGCCTCTGTGGTTTCTAGCTTTTCACCAATTAAAAATAATCTGATCTTTTATTTTGATTCAAATTGAATGACCTCACGCGTGCCATTTTGCCATACTTTTGCCCATTCTCTTAATCCTCCAATATCTCTTTGTAGTTCTAGTTTCTCACCTGTACTGTTTACAATACTTTCCTATCTTTGGCTCATCAGTAACCTTGGATATATGGCTTTGTATCCTGTTGTCTAAGCCATGAATGAATGCTCTGAATATCTGAGTGGAACAGGACATCCCTCTGGGACAATGCTTGTCCCATTCTGCCAATTTGAGCTCCTGGTCGTTACTCCTATTCTCTATCTCCTGAGGCTCAGTCAGTTCCCCAACTGGTTCAAAGATTTATCTTCAATTTCTTTGAAGTCTCAATTGTAACTAACAGTGCTTGGTGAGGAATCTTCTGTACGTTAATGCAAATAACATTTGTAGACATTCTCCAGTTCATGATTTAAGTCACTTCCTCAAAATACATAATCAGATTTTTCAGGCATGACCGACTTTACAAATCTTTACTGGCTCTCGCTGATAACTGAACTGAATATTTTCGAGGTGTTGAGCATTCCTATTGTTAATTATAAACTCTGTTGTTTCCTTGCGAGAGATTCTAGGCTACGTGGTTGATTATTCCCTGGTTTCTTGCTGGCTCTGTATTTAATAGCAAAGTGACGTGGGCAATTTTCCAATCTGAAGGAATGGTTTTCAAATCGAGAGAAATTTTAAAGATTATAGTTAGACTGCAAGTTTCAAGATTTGATATGAAAACATCAGGTCCTGTTCTCTTCTCATTGTTTAGTGGCATTAATTTTTTTCATTGCTGTTATCTTCCTTAAGTTAAAGTTGTTGATTCTTTATCCCTGATTCAATTATAATATCTTTGAGATTTCTGACATGTTGATCTCTTTCTCTGCTGCGAATACTGAAGCAATATAATTATTCAGCATTTTGGCCAGTTCCTTGCTTTCATAACAATGACACCATTATCTTCATGAATTGAAACTTTTTTATATTGATTGTGATATCATTTTTGCTTCTCTTCAGGCTTCTTTTTTATAGCTCTTATTGTCTGTTTTGCCATCCTCTGCGCTTCTGCATATTTTTCATATTTCCCAGGATCTGCACCTTTTTGTATTTTTGTAGGGATTTTCTTTTCTGCTAATGTGTTTCTGAGCCCTTTAATTGTCCACAAATGTACTTTTGACAAGAAGAAATTTTGCCCTTTAAAGGTATAAATTGACTCTGTACAGCATTAATTTATTTTTGAACACCACCTATTTATTGTTTGTTGCTTTGCGCATTAACAGATTTGTCCAGTTTACTGTGGACTGTATCTGTCTCATCTCATTGAAATCAGTCTATCTTAAGTGAAAAATTTGGAAGCTTTTTCGCATTTCATCCTTTCAAACACTGTTAATTTGATCATGTTATGATCACTATTTGTTAATGCTGTTGAACTTTAGGCTGTTAATTAAATCTGGAATTTTACTAATCTACCTTGAAGGCATGACTGTGTGATAATTACCATGCCATACCATTCAGCAGCTGTCAAATTCTAGTCCAAGACACACACCATCATGACTTAGAAATGTTACACCGTTCCTTCAGTGTCACTGGGTCAAAATCCTGGAATTCCCTCCCTGACAGCATTGTGGGTCTACCTACAGCACATAGACTGCAGCGGTTCAAAAGGGCTGCTCACTGAAATAACTCCACAGAGGCCGGTATCCCATCACCAAGTCACCCTTTATTTACACATGGAGAGTCCTTGACACTGATCCAGCTCCCTCAGAGTGAACAGAACCTCTGACACAGAGATAGCAGGAACTGCAGATGCTGGAGAATCTGAGATAACAAGGTGTAGAGCTGGATGA